ATCTCTTCCAGTAGACCTCAGTGCTGCCCAGCATGGCGTGCCACACTTTTAGCACTCCACTCAAAGCGCACTGCTCTAAATTTGCCAACCTTATATATTTGATCAAATGTTGTATTTATTATTTCACACAGAATTTTTGATCCAGTATGAGGACTCGCTTCACCACCACAGAGGTCACTGGCACAACCTCACCGAGGTCGCCGGTACCGAGACCACAGCTCACCTGAAGCTGTCGCCCTATGTTCACTACACCTTTAGAGTCCTTGCTGTCAATGCCATGGGCAGCAGCCGGCCCAGTTTCCCCTCTAAGATGTATAAGACCGAGCCTTCAGGTACTAAAAATCCAGAGTGAAATCTTTTTCCTCTCGGGAACTTGTGTAATATACATGTGTATTTTTCCCTCTTAAAAGCTCCAGATGAGAATCCAACAGGTGTACATGGTTTTGGAACAGAACATGACAATCTTGTCATTTCATGGAAGGTAATTTTTTATAAAGTACAGGAACAAATGACACTCATGAGTCAAGGTACCATACTTATTTTATGATTATTATACTTTTTCGGCGTAAACTTTTGTTGACCTCTTCTTCCGTAGCCGCTGTCAGGCCTCCAGGCCAACGGGCCGGGACTCCATTACAGAGTGATGTGGAGACAGAAGATGATGGACACCGAGTGGATGATGGCGACCGTAGCCAACAACTCCAAGTTTGTGGTGTCCGGAACGCCCACGTTTGTTCCGTACGAGCTCAAAGTTCAGGCCGTGAATGACTACGGTGCAGCGCCCGAACCCGCCGTTGCCTTCGGCCACTCTGGAGAGGATCGTAAGTCCGACTGCTCAGTCTCCAGCCTGCCCTTTTCACCGATGCAAAGCTGTTATGCACAAGTTGTTATGTTGCAGACCCACTCATTTTTTTTTTTATAATACTATCCCTCCCACGTGCAGTAAACACATTTAAACATCTATTTCAATGCAAAAAGTACAAGCGTCAAATGTATAAAACACTTGCTAGTGCACATATTTGTTGCCCACAAGTGTCTGGTTGAACGAGCAGAATTTTTAGGCTAACGTTCTAGCCAATACTATTAATGACTCTCATGCAACGATAGTTTTTTTTTTT